TGCACCTCTTTATTCTGTGTCCGGTTGCTGCTGAGGCTTGGACTTCAAATGGATGGACTTGGAGGCAGTCTGATGCGGGCTGTTGGATGGACAGATTGCAGCAGGAGTTTATGACTAGGAGGAAGGAAGACTTGAGGAAATTAATTTGGGGTTGTTGGGGTATTTGGTGTGAGAGGAATAGGAGGGTTTGGCAGGGCAATCAGTTGCAAGGAAGATCCTTTATGAATCAAGCTAAAGCATTTGTGCAGGGATGGGAGCAAACTCGTTAAGGGGCTGTCCAGGCTGGGAGTTCGCTGCAGGGGTTTTCACAAGCATGGAGTCGACCTGTACATGGCAGATTAAAGCTTAACGTTGATGCTGCGATTAGGGGGAATGGGTGTGGTCTGGGTTGGATTTTACGGGATGAGCATGGATCTTTTTTTGCAGGAGCAGTAAGATGGTGGACCGGGAGGCTAAGCGTTTGGGAGGCGGAGCTAGTCGGGACCAGGGAAGCCCTTAGCTGGGTACGGCAACATGGGTGGGATAGTATTGACATTGAATCTGATGCATCCCAAGCGGTCGATGAAATTGTCAGAGGAACCATTGTTTCTATATGTTGAGTTTAATCGAACACGATATAGTAAATATATGTATGAACACTCAGTTTTTTACGTGGAAACCCGAAAGGGAGAAAACCACGGGACTTTTTAGGCTAATGTCCAAGCCCTCTCTTTCTCATTAGAACTCTCCTCACCATTACATAGTACATTTTGAGCTCCCATTAATGGAGTCTTGCAAGCTATTCTAGAGAGAAGAAATGAGTTGGGGAAGAAGAGAAAAGGGGATCAAAAAGGGATCCCTAAACATGTGGGAAAGCCCCATATTTATAGGGGTAAGGGAAAGGGGGAAACCTAACCTAATGGGCCAAGTAAGCCCAAAATGGGCCCAAAGGACCGAAACATGCCTAATAGGCTGAAATGGACCTTGTCATTCGGGCTCCAAGCTGGGGCGATGCCTTGGGCTCCTGAACAGTAACGGACCGGGATAATATACCTCAACACAAGTCCCCCAGTTTCTTGAGTAGTGAGCGTGCGAATCTGCTCGAGAAAGTATACTCTTGCCTGCGCTCTTCCTCTGCCTTCTTTGCACATGGCCTCGGATTTCGGAGCAAAGGCTTAATTCAATGCATTCGCTTAGGTGCGAGGGATTGGGGCATTCGGCCTACGGATGCCCGACCCGACTTCCTTTGGACATTCGACCCTTAGGAACTCGGCCTAGATGTGTCCTTGCTTTTGATGCACGACCCGGTAGCAGACCTCGGAGTCGTCATACAGCGACAATCCTCGGCCTATTCCTAGAGATGTTCGACCTCCAGATGCTAGACCGGGCTTCCTTGGACGTTCGGCCCCTTGACGGTCAGCCCGCTCGATCTCTCGTTGTTGGGGCTCTGGAGTTTTCCTTCTGGATGCTCGGCTCGACATGCTTAGGAAGATTAGTCCCTAGAAACCCGACCCAACTTCCTTTGGACGTTCATCCCTAGAAACTCGGCCTAGATGTGTCTTTGCTTTTGATGCACGACCCGGTAGCAGACCTCGGAGTCGTCATACAGTAACAATCCTCAGCCTATTCCTAGAGACATTCGACCTCCAGTTGCTAGGTTGGGTCTCCTTGGGACATTTCTACCTCAACATGCTCAGCCTGGGCATGCTCGGTCTCAGGATGTGTTGCGCGCCTCAATGCCCTTGGCCTCCGGGGTGATGGATGTTCGTCCCCGGGCTTTGGCCTCCGGGTGATGGATGTTCGTCCCCGGGCTTTGGCCTCCGGGTGATGGATGTTCGCCCCCGGGCTTTGGCCTCCGGGTGATGGATGCTCGTCCCCGGGCCTGGGCCACTGGACGATAGATGATCGTCTTCGGGCCCTCGGCATCCGGGGTGAAAGATGCTCGTCTATGGCCCCTGGCTCTTGGGGTGGAAGATGTTCGTCTCCAAGCCCTTGGCCTTTGGTGGTCTTCTTTAGACGCTCGGCTTCTGGGGTGGAGGATGCTCGTCCCCGGGCCTAGGCCACTGGACGATAGATGATCGTCTTCGGGCCTTCGGCATCCGGGGTGAAAGATGCTCGTCCACGGCCCTTGGCTCTTGATGGTCTTCTTTAGACCCTCGGCCTCCGGGTGGAGGATGCTCGTCCCCGAGCCCTTGGCATCAAGGTTCATTTTGAGCATCATCTCTTATCTGACTATGATCTTAATCTGCACAATGAACATAGTAACGCGGCCAAATGGCCAGACAATATGTATATGTGCACACTTTTTTTTGTAGGTCGGCTTGGGGCTCTTCCGGGCATGACGGTCGGCCTCGGAGTGCGATGACCTTCGGCCCGGCCCATCACCTAGTTCTTCCGGATATGAGCGTCCACATTGGGGTACGATGACCCTCGACCCGGCTCATCTCCTAATTATTAAATTAAAAACCTGATGGAAGCTCATCCCCGAACTTCGCTCGGCATTATTTATTTCGGGACATTTTAATCCCTATTAAATAATGGCGATAAAACAAATTAACTAGTAATAATACTAGTATGAACTAATTAGAGTGTAGGAATGGTTGTACTTAGCTTGGGATGGATGTGCGGCCAGCTAAGAATTTCCGAAATGATTTTGGTTCCTTTTACTTTGACTTGGCCCAAATACCCAAGGATGTGCGCCCAGACTTGGCCAAAATTCCCCAGTTGACGTACGTCCAAGCCAAGAGAGCCTCGATTTAGCATAATCCCCCATTTTGCCTTTTGACTTTGTTCAAAATTCTCCAGGAATTTAGCCTTTTACTTGGCCTCAAATCCATACCAATAATATAAGGAGTATCTTTTAGAAAAGCAAACCCGCCCTGCAGTGCTTGATTTCCACCCCAACCTTAAGCTGAGTGTCCCATCTTTCACTGAGAACCAAATCAGCAATTTCAAGCCGAGTGGCAACTTCAAGCCGGCCGAACGTCTCATAATTTAGGCCGTGTGTGATTATATTTCCGCCCATACTGACGGGCGGCTGTACCGAAACGCCGGCGAATTCTATTCCGATCCCGTGCGGCAACTGTATCGGATGTGGCCCCTGTTCTAACTCGAGCATCTGGGTTCTGATGCCGGTCGTCGCCACGGCTGGGTGACGTACGTCGGGTGTTTTGTAGTCGGTGATCAGCCTGGAGTGGGCTCGGGAGCCAAGGCTGGGAGTAGGGTGACCATTAATGGGTCGGTGAGCTGGTATCTCAATGATCCGGAGGCAAGTTGTGATCCTTACGTTGGACGAACGTCCCCCAAGTCAAAGCATTCACAGCAAGCTCCCTCCGGTCCGTTTGTGCGGGAAAAAATGTAACATGCGTATGAAATGCTCCGGACTATACGTACACCCCGTTGAGAAATTGATCAAACTAAACACACTCCTCGTGTCCATGGGCGGTCTTTGCTCCTTACCCGATTGCTGACCGTCAAAGGTAATGGGACGAGCGTCGTTCCCACAGTCACAAGCTTACATGCGTTGAGAGGCGAATTGAACGGCTTAATCATTGGGCAACGCTTCGGATGCCGGCTGGGCGGCCGGCTTACATGGTGCCCGAACTGTTCCCCGACATGCGTTGTCAACCAGAGTGCATTTGTTAGGCCGAGCGTCCAGCCAAACGGTGCGTGAATTTGTCCGGAGAAGGGCCGATATGTTCGGAGGGGAACCTGCTCGTCCGCACTCCGTCATCATGAACGGTTTTAGTTCTGTACGTGTGGAACCCACCTGCCAACTCCCTGCAGCTTTCTACTGTAGCTTAATATGACTTTTTCTTTCGTACAAGATGGCTACTGTACTCTTTACTATGTGTGGTCCCTACCCATAGTTCATGGGTGAACTCTTGGACGGTTCCAGCCTACTGCTTCCAGGCTTTCGCCGGTCTTCGCCGGAGTGGGGAGCTTCGGCCGTCACGATGTCTTTCCGGTTGACCTCCGTTTGCCATAGTTGCACTTCATGGTCCCCAGGCCTCCACGAGAGGTTGCTAAGGACGTCAAGCTCCTCCCCCGTTCCGTGGTCTGCAGATTGAACTGCTAGTTACTTCCTTTCTCTCCTTTTTGCTAAATCATTTTTCCAGGATGTTTTTATTTATTTAATTTTTTCTTCCTCCCCTTAGCTTTTCACGTTAGATCTTCTTCTCCTGCTTGCTTTCCAGAATAGTTTTTCTTTCTTTTTTGCTGGGATCAGTCCACTTCGTATGAATCTTTGCAGAACACGTTCAACTTTTTGGACAGTTTCCCACAGACAGCGCCAGTGTTGAGTTTAATCGAACACGATATAGTAAATATATGTATGAACACTCAGTTTTTTACGTGGAAACCCGAAAGGGAGAATACCACGGGACTTTTTAGGCCAATGTCCAAGCCCTCTCTTTCTCATTAGAACTCTCTTCACCATTACATAGTACATTTTGAGCTCCCATTAATGGAGTCTTGCAAGCTATTCTAGAGAGAAGAAATGAGTTGGGGAAGAAGAGAAAAGGGGATCAAAAAGGGATCCCTAAACATGTGGGAAAGCCCTATATTTATAGAGGTAAGGGAAAGGGGGAAACCTAACCTAATGGGCCAAGTAAGCCCAAAATGGGCCCAAAGGGCCGAAACATGCCTAATAGGCTGAAATGGACCTTGTCATTCGGGCTCCAAGCTGGGGCAATGCCTTGGGATCCTGAACAGTAACGGATCGGGATAATATACCTCAACACTATAGTAGGCATGGTGGCAGCGGATATAAGAGAATTGGCTTCTTTTTTTACGAATGTGACTTTCTCTCATATTAGACGGTCAGCGAATAGGGCAGCTCATGCTATAGCTCAAGCCGCGTATTCTATGTCTGATTGTCAGTCTTGGTTATGTTTTGCTCCTGATTTTATTGTTCCTATTGGAAACTCCGATATTATTAATACTAATTGATCCTTTTCTGCAAAAAAAAAAAAGAAATACTAGTACAAAAAAAATCAATCAATAAAGCATCACCACCGTCAGCCTTATAAAATCTCCACCCTTTATTCCTTGCCCCGTTCTTTTTCTATTGCGATTTGCGGGTCTCCCGATTTGCCGTCTTCGCCTCGCTCTCTCTCCCTGCTTCTTCTTCTCTCTCGCTCTTCTGCTAAACGCATCCCAGTGTATACACAATAATACTGCCGCATATATTTGCCGAGAGAAGAATCGGGGGTACGAAGCTAAGGGATGGATTCAGATCAAGGGAAGCTTTTCATTGGTGGCATATCTTGGGAGACGGATGAAGAGAAGCTGAAGGACCACTTTCAGAGCTTCGGCGAGGTTTTGCAGACTGTGGTGATGAGAGATAAGATTACCGGGAAACCCAGAGGCTTTGGATTCGTTGTATTCGCAGATCCGAACATTCTAGATTCAGTTCTCCAGGAAACCCATACCATCGATGGCCGTACGGTGAGAAGGGTTTCATGAATTGCTTTTGTTGATTTTGATTTTCGATACGAGGTTCTGTTTGAATTGAATTTTCTGTAGAAAAAAAATCAGGCGTTGATGTTTGTTTATAGGGTTAAGTATTTTTTAGACACTCTCGCTCGGGGTATTTGATGCTTTGGTTAGTCTGGTCGTGTTTCTGTGCCATTGGCGTGAAATTTTAGAATTATGAATGCATTGAGTTCCAGGTGCAAATCAGTATTTTTCTTTGCTCTCTTTAAGGGGTGAAATAGGACTTGAGACGATTTTTATGAAAAAGTATAATCATCGGAGATTGGAGCACAATGATGCTCGTTATCCTTCAAGTTGGAACACTGTTATTCTTCAGATGTCTTCTATGTATTATGTGTTCCAATATATGATTTGATTGTAAATAAGATAAGTTTCCTCTATCTGATACCTATATGGCTACAATTAGTATATGGTCACTTTTTCATAATAGTAAAGTTTGTTCCTTGATCGATTCACTCCACCCCTAAAGATTATTTTGAGTGGTTCACTAAAAATGCTTGCCGCTTGGCTTTATTGTTACTATGTATTGGACAAAAAATGGTGAAGGGTAGACTTTGATTTTGGGACAGTGAATTAGATTTGTTTTGTTTAAAGTAAAGTAGTACTGGGGTAATGATTATGATGATGAAACTAAAGTAGTACTACTATAAGTTTATCGTGAAAACATGTATTTACCACTGTGTTATGTATCTGTTTCTTCAGTTGTACTAATTACATTCTGTTGCTATCATATATATAGGTTGAGGCCAAAAGGGCCATATCAAAAGAGGAACAGGTCTCCAGAACTGGAAATTCCAATGGTGGCAGAAGTTATGGTGGTGGTGGTGGTGGTGGCAGCAGCAACAAGACTAAGAAAATATTTGTTGGGGGGTTGCCCCCTGCTCTGACCGAGGATGGCTTCCGTGGTTACTTTGAAGCCTATGGTAATGTAACTGATGTTGTAATAATGTATGATCAGCAGACCAACCGACCACGCGGATTTGGTTTTATTTCATTCGATTCGGAGGATGCAGTGGACCAGGTTTTACACAAGACCTTTCATGATTTGAATGGTAAGCAAGTAGAAGTAAAACGTGCACTTCCTAAAGATTTTAGCTCTGGCTCTGGATCTGGCTCTGGATCTGGTTCTGGTGGTGCCCGCTCAATGGGAGGCAGTGGTGGTGGTTATCAGGGCTATGGAGGAGGTGGTGGAAACAATCCAAATTCTTATGAAAGTCATATGGATTCAAAGTACGCGCAGCAACAAAACACTGTATCAGGGTATTCCCCCTATGCTTCGTCTGGATATCCCTCTGCTGGTTACGGGTATGGACCGTCCAACAATGCGATGGGCAGTTATGGTGGTTACGGAGGTTATGGTGGCGGAGCCACTCCTGGCTATGGTGGACCTGCAGCTTCTGTCTATGGAAATCAAAATCTTCCTGGTGGCGGCTATGGAAGTGGTTCAGCAGATGGACAAAGAAGCTCATGGAACCCCCAGGGTCCTGCTTATGGTGGCAATGTGGGCTATGGAGGTGTGGGAGGTGGAGGAAACACAGGCCATTCTCCAGCTGAAGCAGCAGGTTATGGGAGTCAGAGTTATGGTTATGGTGGGTATGATGGGTCTTATGGAAATCAAGCTTCTTATGGGGCGGTGGGCCGTACTGCTGGTGGTCCAGCAAGTAGCAATTCCTCTGCTGGCGGTGGTGGAGAGATGCAATCTGGTGGGTACGGGGTATATGGTGACGCCAGTGGGAATTATGCGTCACAAGCTTCTGGAAATTATGGAACAAATGGAAACCAAGGTGGTTATGGAGGTGGTTATGGGGGTGGCCCAGCTCGGCAAACCCAACAACAGTGATGAGAAGTTACTTTGCTTTCTGTGGAATTCAGTCTTTTCATTACGGGTCTTGTGTTTCATGAGCTGAGAGAGGGGGTGACTGTATCAATACATCTTACCTGCTTAATTGGACTGGTTGGATTGCTTGAACCCAGTAGTTTGTTACTATTATTCTACAATAAGTAGAGCGTTATACAGTAGACCTAGCTTATTATTATGATTTGCTAAGTGTAGCATTTATTGTGGTGTGCTTGTTATCTTTTCCCTAGCTAATCTGGTGCATGGCTTCCCTCTGTCTCCATTGATGTAGTTTTTGTGCTCGATTTATTCCCTTCTCGATTTCTGCAGCTCCTTTCATATTGGAGTTGGTATAACTACACATTATTATATTTTTTAAATTTCTTAACTGAACATGTAGGGACTATCCTTCTCTTGAATTCTTGATTACTTTTGCTGGCAATATATTAGAAATTTTCAAAAGCAGGGTTTTTCTTCAATGGTACGAGATCCGAGGTGCATAGTTTTTGCTGTTAGAGCCGTAGAAGTGCAGCTATAGCCAACTTTGGATTCGTAGTGGGTAGCCAATAGTCATAGCAGTAGTTGCTTTTTGAAAATGACATAATCATTTCCCCACTGTATTTGGCCTTGTGTTGTACAGGAGAAGAAGCTCTCAAGTAAGGAGGGTGGTGAGAAGGGTTCACTTAAGGTGGAGTTCGGAATGCAATCAATATCTTGAAACTGGAACTGGTGATCTGGGCCAAGCTGCTGTTGTTGAGCTCATTCTACTCACAGCCAACAATGGTATGTTTTGGGCTCATCAGCACATGCGGTTGTCTCATTAATTTAATTAGGTACCTTAGAATTTTAACAAATATAATTCAATGCCTCATATAGGATACCGGAAATGGTTGATGATGTATCCATTCATGGTTGATGGTACCTAAAAAAAATTGCTGCAACTCAGCAGTTAATTGCAGTTGATTGAATAGTGTTTTAGCTGGATTAGAGAAAGCTTTTTATGAATTTCTTGTAGGGTCAATACTACAGAATTTCTGTTTCTAAAACTAGAGCATGGCACAATTCCAGCGGACAGTGGGGGTGGTTATTTTCTGCAATTATTCAAAACTAGTACTACCTCCGTCCCATATTTATCTTCATAGTTCGGTTTACGATGCTTGACTGACGATAAAGCAACTCGATCCCTGTTCACACTCGGATTATTTTTAGTAAATAAAATTTACATATTCAGAAACTACATTAAAACCGCTACAAAGCCTGATCAAGAAAATTTAAGTTTGATAAAAATTTGATATATAAAGTAAAAGATTAAGAGTAATTTGAGTTGACCATGTGAATAGTAACTATGAAGATAATTTTGGGACGGAGGGAGTACAGTTTTTGTGAATTTCTTGTTGGGGTTGCATTGTTAAAGTTCTGTACTCTAAACCTAAACCTGACTTGGCTGGCTGATGTCTGGCTCGGTCACTGCCTACATAACGTCATAACTGGCTTGTCTTTAACTTGGTTGAAGTTGTTTATAAAAAGACCAGCATGTGTCTGGCTTCACTTTACTAAAGTTACTAAACAAGTCCTCAAATCAAGTATTCGTTGTTTATCTGGTTATAGCGAAATTTTTCTAATGACATGTTTCTAGGCTTGGACCCGGTTCGGGCCACCCGGCCTGGGTACCGGCCCGGCCCGGGAACCGGGTACCGGTTTCGGGTCTAGGCCCAGTTTGGGGGGGTTATCCAGGGCGGGTATGGGCTAGGTAAAATCTGATCCGGCCCGGCTGGGCCTGGGTCCGGTTCGGGCCTAAATTCTTTTTTTTCAGTTTATTTTTGCTTCCTTCTGGGTTGGGCTGAGTCACCAGGATGTTTTGACCCGGTTTGGGGGGTGGGGGGTGGGGGTGGGGGTGTGGGTGGGTGTCAGGGAGTAGTTAGGAAAGAATAAAAATATAGATATTATAATAGGCCCGGCCCGGACCTGGACCAGACCCGTTGGATACCTGGCCACCTGGGCCGGTCCCGGGCCTACCACTTAATATCCAAAAGCCCGCCGTTCCTAGGCCTGACCCGGCCCGAATCCACCCCTGATGTTTCTGAAGTGAATCAACTCAATCTTTTAAATTAGGCGCCAGTTGTAAATGTTTACTCACGCTCAAAAAGCAAACCTCCAAAACTCCAGAAATTGAAAATAACACAGCTATGAAGTGTCCCTCCCTCTGTCCTGCCATTCCTTCGCACTTCTCTTTGGGAGGGGATTCAATAGTAACCAATTAATGAAAACATGATGTGCTTGAGTCTTGGATTGGAATGTTTTGGTCTTGAATGCAGCATTGTCACCAATGTGTTTATCTTTGTCATTGAAAAAACTGCACTAGGCTACGCAAGACACGGGTGTGTGTTAGTTGTTACACCCAAGAACATAAGGGCCAACCAATAGGTATTCTGTGTGTGCATAGGGGTGGACTCGGATCGGGCCGCCTGACCCGGCCCGGTACTGTTTGGGCCCGGCCCAGCCCGGTTCGGGCCTACCAAACCGCTCAATTCCCGGGCCGGGCTCGGGCCTTCTTAAAGTGGAACCGGCCCGGCCGGTCCTGGCCCGGTTCGGGCCATTTGTTTTTGTTTTTCAATTTTTTTTGTTTCTACTGGGTTAGGCTGGATGTTTTGGGGGGGTTTGGGGGGGGGGGGGGGTGGGGGGGTGGGGAGTTGGGGGTTAATCACAAAAGCAAAAGAAAAAAAAAATAACATTGAACCGGAACTGGCCTGGCCCGGCCTGTTGCCTACCCGGGCCGGTTCCGGTTCTCCTTTCCCAGAGAAAAAGCCCAGCCGGGCCCAGACCCGAACCGGAACCGGCCCGGCCTGGGTCCATCCCTATGTGTGCGTCTATGGCGAGCGTTGTGATACTAGACTATACGAGACTCAATGTGGGCAAGTGTTTTTGGCCGTCGGGCTCAGGCGGGGGCGTAGCCAGGACGTTTACCCTTGGTCGATTATACACTAAAAACATTATATAAAAATTTTAAAAGCTGCAATAGTGTGAACGTAATGATTAAAATCCATTAAAAGGCATGGTAATATTTTAAGCTTAGGCCCAATCGGGTAGATGTTGCGCCCACATCGTGTGTTCGTACATTCTTTTTTTCTTAAATACTAGCTTTCAAGCCCGTGCGATGCACGGGCAGTATGTAATTTAGCTAATTTGAAATTTGATTTCTTTCAGATCATATGTAATGTGATTTAAAAGAAAAATAAACTTAGTCTAATATAGAGCTTGTTTGATAATACGAAAATAAATTGAATTAACTTATTTTACTGAAATTGATTAAATTTTGACGAAATGAGCTGAATCGGTGGAATCTTCTCAATCGTGAAAAAAAATATATAAAATATATTCCATTTGTGAAGCCAAGAACAGATTATATGAAAAATAGTTAAATTGATATGAACCCGATTGTTATGAATCAGGAAAATAAGCATCTCGAGCAAATATAATTGTTATGAACCCGATTTTAAACATTTAATATAATCCTATGAAGATGGATATTCATAGAAATTTAATATATATGAATTAAAAAAAGTCTAAATATAGAGCCTGTTTTTTAAATTGTAAGCCTAAACGTATAAACGTATACTATAACATTTAATATAATGGTTATAATGGAATTAAAACGTATAATTCTAAGCCTGAACATATACTATAACATTTAATTGTTATAGAAATTAAAACGTATTTTTGGCTAAGAATACCTATCATATATAAACTTAGTCTAATATAAAGCATGTTTAATATAGTACTTTTTACGGATTTTTGTTTCCATATCAATATGCAATCAAGTTAAGCAACAAGTGGAGCCAAAGATAAAGTGGTGGAGGCTTGAGGGGGATCTTCAACAAAGCTTTACACACAAAATGTTCAGTGAAGATGTATGTCGAATTGATAATGGAACACATGTGGAGGATGCGTGGTTATCGATGGAGCTGACCATTAACAAAGTGGCAAAGGAGGTACTTGGGGAATCTAAAGGATGTCTGCCACCCAAAAAGGACACGTCTTGGTGGAATGATGAGGTGAAACAAGCCATACGGAACAAAAGAGATTGCTACAAAAAGCTAGGGATAAGTCGGAGTGATGAGAATATAGAAGCATACAAGGAGGCTAGAAGACAAGCAAAGAAAGCCGTAAAAGAAGCACAAGGGAAAGTGAACAAGGAGTTGTATGAAAAATTGGACTCTAAGGAAGGAGAACAAGATATCTATAGACTTGCTCGTCTTCGTGATCGCAGGACTCAAGATATCGGAAAAGTTAAGTGTGTGAGTCGATCAAAGGATATTAATGGAGGACAGAGAGATAAAAGAGAGGTGGAGATCATACTTTGATACATTGTTCAACGGGAACAAAGTGCAAGATATCGATGATTTGACCATACCAGATTGTATGGTAAATCGTGGTTTTGTGAGAAGGATCTAACCAACGGAAGTTAAAGAGGCTCTGAGGAAGATGGGGCGGAAGAAAGCAGTGGGTCCAGATGGCATACCGATCGAGGCTTGGAGAAGTTTGGGAGAGAGAGACATCGGGTGGTTAACAAATTTCTTCAACAAAATTTGGAGAAACAAGATGCCAACGAGTTGGAGAAAGAGTACTGTTATTCCCTTATTTAAGAATAAAGGTGATGTACAAGAATGTGCCAACTATCGAGGGATTAAGCTTATGAGTCATACCATGAAACTTTGGGAGCGAGTGATTGAGCAAAGACTTCGAAGAACGGTGAAGATTTCAGAGAATCAATTCGGTTTTATGCCTGGTCACTCAACAACTGAGGCTATTCACCTTCTTCGGCAACTTATGGAGAAGTATAGAGACGCTCACAAGGATTTGCATTTAGTGTTCATTGACTTAGAAAAGGCATATGATAGGGTACCTCGAGAAGTTCTTTGGTGGGCCTTAACTAGAAAAGGCATTTCACGCAAGTATATCAGTATCATCATGGATATGTATGAGGATAGTACTACAAGTGTTCGTACTAGTGTTCCCTATTACTATCGGAGTGCACCAAGGATCGACTCTGAGCCCTTTTTTATTTGCCATAGTCATGGATGAACTTACAAAGTCAATTCAAGACGATATACCGTGGTGCATGATGTTTGCCGACGATATTGTATTGATTGATGAGACGCAATCAGGGGTTAAATCAAAGTTGGAAGTATGGCGACAGACATTGGAGAACAAGGGTTTCAGACTAAGTAGAAGCAAGACAGAGTACATGGAGTGCAAGTTTGGTGGAGGTAGAAGCAGTGGTAATAGCGGAATTACTTTAGATGGTAAGGAGATACCGGTCAGCGAAATGTTTCGTTACTTGGGCTCCATAATTCAGAAGGACGGTGAGTTAGATGGAGATGTATCCCATAGAATCAGAACAGGGTGGATGAAGTGGAAGACTGCGTCAAGATTTCTATGCGATCGAGGTATGCCGACTAGACTGAAGGGTAAATTTTATAGGACAACAATTAGGCCTGCATTACTGTATGGCAGGGAGTGTTGGGCGGTGAAACAATGTCACCCACAAAAGATGAGTGTGGCAGAGATGCACATGCTGCGTTGGATGTGTGGGCATACTAGAAAGGACCGTGTGAGGAATGAGACAATTAGACAAATGGTGGGAGTAACACCTATTGAAGATAAGATGCGGGAGTCACGCCTACGGTGGTTTGGTCATGTGCATAGAAGACCGAGTGATGCACCTGTCAGACGAGTTGAGATGTGTGGAGAAGAGGTAGGGAAGAGAGGGAGAGGAAGGCCCAAACAGACGTGGGTTAGGGGAGTCAGAAGTGATATGCTTCTTCTTGGATTGGATGAGAGTATGGCTTTGGAGAGAGCAAAATGGAGGGCGGGTATTCGTGTGGAAGAGTGATCTTGTATCATCTTTTCTCCTCTTTATATATATATATATATATATATATATATATATATATATATATATATAGGGTGCGGTTCCAGTGAGAACGATGCTTAACGTGAGAACGTGAGAACACTCACAATTAACCCAGCGTGATACACAATTGAGCCCGTCAGGTGCACATTTGGGTTTAGCTCAAAATAAGCCTATATAAATAATGACGGTGGCATTTTAGTAAATACTGTGCCGAACGCGAAAATGTGCATTGGGCGAGCCTCATTGTGCATCACATTTGGGTAAATGTGGTGTTCTCACGTTCTCACGTTAAGGGTTGTTCTCATTTGTGCCTAAATCTATATATTCACCACATTTACCCAAATGTGATGCACAATGAGGCTCGCCCAATGCACATTTTCGCGTTCGGCACAGTATTTACTAAAATGCCACCGTCATTATTTATATAGGCTTATTTTGAGCTAAACCCAAATGTGCACCTGACGGGCTCAATTGTGTATCACGCTGGGTTAATTGTGAGTGTTCTCACGTTCTCACGTTAAGCATCGTTCTCACTGGAACCGCACCCATATATATATATATATATATATATGGGTGCGGTTCCAGTGAGAACGATGCTTAACGTGAGAACGTTAAGCATATATATATATATATATATAT